GATAGTTAGGAATACACCTGAGCATTACTATGGTTTCCATATTACTGCGGAGGGCGAGACTCTTATTAGTGATGAGACACTAGTTACGAACCTAACAGTTACGCGAAAGCTATGGCAGGCCCCGAGTCTGCTAAATGGAAAGAGGCTATGGATAGCGAGATACAATCCATGTATGACAATCAAGTATCGAACTTGGTTGAGAATGTACCAGGTCGTAAGACTATAGGGTGCCAATGGATCTTCAAGAAGAAGACCGACATGGATGGTAATGTATACACTTATAAGGCTCGATTGGTTGCAAAGGGCTTCTGTCAAACTCCTGGACTGGATTATGATGAGACCTTTTCTCCAGTATCCAAGATTTAGTCTATTAGAGTTATGTTAGCTATTGCTGCATTTCATGATTATGAAATATGGCAAATAGATGTCAAAACCTCTTTGCTTAATGAAAAGTTGACTGAAGATGTTTACATGAGTTAGCCAGAAGGTTTTGTTAGCAACGAGTACCCTAATAGAGTGTGTAAGCTTGAGAAATCCATCTATGGTTTAAAGCAAGCACCTCGCAGATGGAATCTTTGCTTTGATGAGAAAGTCAAGGAATTTGGCTTTTCTAGGAGTGAAGATGAATCTTGTGTATATGTCAAGGCTAGTGGGAGTATAGTTAGCTTTTTGGTATTGTATGTGGATGACATACTACTCATAGGAAATGTCATCCCAACCCTGCAGGAAGTTAAGTCCTGGCATGGGAAGTGTTTCTCTATGAAGGACCTAGGAGAAGCTGCCTATATTCTAGGGATAAGGATCTTGAGAGACTGGAGTAAAATACTAATTTGTGACATCCCGGAATTTAGGGCATAGATTTCAAACGACTAAATTTTAGAAAATCTATTTGTAATTAACTCATTCAGCATTGATTGCATCTAACAAAATATAAAGGAGTTAATTTCAATTATGATGTAATATCTGATGATATTTTTATGTCCAAGCGTGCAACCTGGTAACCAAATCAAAATGCTCAACTGCAGCATTGGGTAATACGTCTGAAAAACTAAAATTTAGCATTAATCATTTTTGAGCAAAACAAACACTAAAATATGATAGTACGTGTTCCCCTGTTTCCGAAAATATAAAGAACGTCCAAAATGGAGTTCGTATCCAAAAGATACAACCGTTATAAGAAAAACGGACAGTAAAACACTGTTTTCTTTAATCGCGTAAACCAAAACAATCCGTTGAGGCGCTTACGCTTTGCCGATGGGATTTCCGAGAGCGTTTTGGAATCGGGATATAGTATATTATTTAATTTCACACTCGAAATAATTTTTACGAAAATATTTATGAAAGTCGCGAAAATGGACACTGCCTACCGTTAAGATGCAAAACTTCAAACACAAATTCCCGGAGATCCGTAACTCCAAAAATTAATCCGTTTGAGGTTCTGGAATCCTTGAATTATACTCTATCTAAAAATGCTTTCGAAAAAAATATTCGATGCATGAATCCTGAGGCACCCGGTTTTTTTTGCATGTTTTGGACATAAAATGGAGACCCCATGTGGGGCCCACATGGAGTGAAGGACTCCAAAAACCTGATCTTCTTCCAGCTGGTATCAAATCCACGTGCCTTTCCTTTCTACACCCTCCTCCTTTGTGTGCAAGGTTCATCAAAGGTACAAACATGGGATTGAAAGTATGGCCATAGATAAGTATGTGTCTATGGACTTATACTATAAATAGAGGTCACTACTTCTCATAAAGTCACTCAAATTCATCAGCTTCTTCTTCTCTCTCAATTCCCTCTCTCACAGTTACAACATCACCACCATGGATCACCTCCCCAACCCATTCCTACTGTTGTTTTCAGTCACCACAACCCACTCCCTCCTCCTTTTTGGTCTTCCCTATTGAAATAAGCAAGAAAGAAACATCAGAAGGCCACTGGAGTAGCCTCCTGCCACTACCGTTTCACCCTCCTGCCGGCAATCACCCATCACCCATTGCAACCTTCAAACACCCACTTCCACCACCCAAGAACTTCATCCCTAAGCTGTCATTGCTATTAATTTCGATCCCCAAAAGCTTCTCCACAATTCCTGCATCAAAATACTGGTAAAAGAAAGAAGAACGAAGGCAACAGCACCGAACTACCACCTCCGTCACCCCCCGCCAGCCTCCTGTTGCAGCGACAACCACCGTCACCACTTCTGGCCTCCATTTTCGCCACTGGTAAGCACCTCCACCCCTTAGAGAATGTTTCCAAATATCACATGCATCTTTGACTGATTAGGGAATGACATAAGAATTTTTTTTTGGCTATAATAAACCTGCGACGAAGAAGAAGAAGAACAGGAGGTTTCCCTCCTGTTCACGAATCAGATACACAAACATGCATGCGGTTTTGCTACATGCAGTCCCCCAAGTATGATATTGTCCAGAATCAACCCGTTGCTCCCAAAAACTGTTTTTAAACTAGGTCCTAAGTCCTAAACATCCAATTGAAATATTCACAATCTACCTAAATTTCGAAAAATCCTTTCACTAGAAGTTCAAAATATTAAAATAGAAATTTCATAAATTCACTTTTTTACATATATATACATTTTATATTTGATTGTTGTTAAATCTTAAATTATAAAAAAAAAATTGTATTTTGATTTAAATAAATTTTTGGGATTTAAATATTTTGGGAAAATAATAAACTAAATTTTTAGAAAAATTTATTTAAATGGATTATTTAAATAAATTTTGAGATAATAAACATTTAGAAAAATTATAAATCATTATACTAGTTCAAATACCAAATCTCCCATCAAATATTGATTTATAACGAATATTTCTAGGAAATCGGATTTATCCCGGAAATCACGACCTCTCGGCAACACATCTCGACTTTCAGAACTACTCGTTAACCACTCGATAAGGTGAGAGTTACGACCCCTTTTCAATATTTTATTTATTCTTGGGGGAGAATACATGTGCTAAATAGTATTTATTATGCAAATACATATGTTTTATATGATACACATGCTACAATTTTAAAAGTTATAAAGACTTCCATATTTGAATATTATCATGCATAAGGCTTTACACACTCGTACAAGATCATTATGTTAAAATACATATCTCTATAAAAGCGAGTAATTTATACTTTTATAAATACGTCAACCATACTCGGCTTTTACAAATACTATACTACGAAATTCATTATGCCTGGTACTTATCTATAATTAAGTTAGGGCTGAGAGTTATTCACAAACTTTTCGTTAATGGTTTTTGAGAGAGACGCTACTATTAATTAGCTGAGTTTAATCACTTAGTCTGCCCCACACTGCTATAATCGTTAATCTTCGGAGCGAGGTACATATATATAGATCTATATGGGGTCGACAACCCCACCTGCGGTTGCTAGCTACAACCATCGACTGATCAATCGAAGCAGGTGATATGTGTCTATAATTGGTACTACGACGTCCAATGAAGCGTCGTAGGGAGGGGTACTTTTCGTCTATAGCTCGATTATAGAACTCACTAAAAACATTAACACGAATCTCTCTCACTTTTTCACTACAACCATAGGTTTGGTTGCTTTCAGAATTATTTTTAAGTATAGTGGTTACTTATACAATGGATATATTTAAACTTTCATGAGGTTATATCAAACACGTTTTCTTTAAAAGCATAGATTTATTTATAAAATTACTTATTGGCTTTTAAAGACTCATGACAAGCATTGTTTCAACTATTGTTATACAAGAAAAATATACTTTTGGACTTTTGCAAGTACTATTACTACGGCTAGCAGAAAACCTGTGACTCTCACCAACCTCGTGTTAACTTTCAAAATACATGTATTCTCAGGAAATCAGTGAAATTTCGGGGACACTCAGACGATGGAAAACATGGCTCGCAAGTACTTTAATTTTCTACTTTTGAACTGTTATGCCTAACTATTAAGGCAAACTCGTATTATTATTATATTACTATCTGTAAGAACCATGTATGAAAACATAAATATATAATGAAATGTTGTTTTGTTTATTGTTGTACTTGTGCTGTATATTCAATTTATCTGTGATCCATGAACTTAGTCGCACAGCCCGACATGTTCCGCCGCCTCGGCCGGGGGTGTGACAGAATGGTATCAGAGCCAGGGCACGGGTCGATGTGTTCGACGGGGACGTCGAACCCTATAATGGGGGGTGAAAGTGGGTTAGATCTGATCCCACATCGGCAGGGAAGGAGAACTAAGCATTCCTTATAAGGGGTGTGGATACCTTCCCTATCACAACGCATTTTAAAGTCGTGAGGGCAGCAGATCCCATAAGAACTCTGCAGTTAAGCGTGCTCGGGCCGGAGTAGTACCAGGATGGGTGACCCCCTTGGAAGTCCTCGTGCCGAGTGGCCCAAAGCGGACAATATTGTGATACGTGCCAGAGGGAGATGTTACAAATGGTATCAGAGCTAAATTGGCTATAGAGAACTCGTATCCTCGAAAGAGGAATACAACTATAGCAACTAGCTTCTTATAAAAGTATTATCAATAATAAAACTACTTCTCGACTACTTATGGTATGGTAGTTGGGAAGTACAAAACAAAGATTAATAATACTACAAACCCCACCAACCTTAATATATAAGAGTTGATATATATACTCTGACCCACGATGAGAACAATTAATAAAAATTCTAAACATCCCTTCAACTAAAACTACCAACTCAACCCTTTAGGTCAAACGCCTCAATTAAAGGTTAGTATCGTACATAAGCCGTACCACAAATAAACCTGGAACGCGCGCCTATGTTATTTATGGTCGGGCCGGTGCACAACCAACCTTGAGCAAGGAGTTTGACAAACTACAATGGTTGAGAGTTTTAGAGATTGAAGAATGTCCACCATATTCGTTGCTGAAGCTTAGTACCTTAGAATCCTTTTATCAACCTTAAAACACTTACGAAAAACTTATACAAATTTACTAACCCGCTTGAAACCCTTTTATGTAGATGGCTGGACTACCGGATAACCCTGATGACTGGTTTCGACTTGAGGATCCTGATGAGCCATTTGGAGTTCCTTTGCATCCACATCCACTACACTTAGCTGGGGATCCGTACTTTCCCCAGGACGCTCTTGAGGAGGAGGATCCCGAAGAGGATCCTGAGGAAGATCCCGAAGAGGATCCTAAGGAGGATCTCGATGAGGAGGAGCTCGAGGATGAGGGCATATTGCAGGATGCTCAAGAGACTGATGATGATGGTCCTGCAGAGGATGAGGGAGACTTCTCCGAAGAGGAACCTACTCTCCTTACCCCACCAGACTCACCACCGAGACCCTACTACCAACCGTACCTTCTGCGCGGCAAGGGGCCTTGTATGATGAGGACCCCAGGAACTACTATATCTCCTCTTTACCACTTGGACCCAACTACTCAGGTTTCCCGACCCACTAGTGGTCTATTAGGGAAACGGACTCGACCCAGTGAGCCATCTTGGCTCATAGATCTCCTTAGCAGGAGGGATGCTATTGATCTACCACCACGGTTTGAGGTTGGTGAATCTTCATGAGCACCACTCAGGTTTAATCTTGAGGATGATCCAATACCTCGCTTGATGTCTCAGACTGATCAGACCGAGGATAGGATTAGATCCTTGGAGCAGTTTGTGAGAGGTCCAGGCTCTACTTCCCTCGACCATCGAGTTGAGACACTCGAGGAAGAGGAGAAGGAGAATTATGATGCGATCCAGATATTATATCATCTCTCGGGTGCTGATCACGATGCAGTGAATGCCTTGAGTGCTCAGGTTAGAGCACAGAACTATCGGATTCAGATTATGGAGAGCGAGCTTGCTGCACAGCGAAATCAGCTGGTTATCTCTGCGCAGGAACGACGCTACATCTTGGACCAGTTCGAGGACTTTGTCCTCTATGTGATGACTCGATTTGGGAGGTAGATATCTAGGACAACTTGTGTCGTAGGATAAGGTTAGGACTTTTGAGGAATAGCTTTTGTGTTGCAAGTGTTTATCACTGCCTGGTTTGTAATAGCTCTTTTCAAAAGCTTTTCTATTTCTAACCTTATATGGTTAAAACATTGTAACCAAAACAAGCAGTTCTTATGACAATGTTTCAGTGTTTTGTTAAATGTTTGTATTTATTATGTGTTGCTCGCAAAACTCTATATCAGGTAAAGCTTTCATTTTCTGATTTAAAATCTGTATGATTTCGGAAGAAAAACAAACTGAACTATCACACACCTATTATAACTATATGGTTTAAAAACAACTTAACTTACTTATCTAACATATTAGGATAATGCCTCGATGAAAAGAACTGCGAGTTCGTCCACCACCGACTCCCCGAACTAACAGGAAAAGTGCTCCAGAGATAGCTCAAACAACAGAAGAAACTCCAGACCCTGAAGAAGCCCCAAGTGCTACAAATAACCACCAAAATTTCCAGATGGATCCCACTATGATGCAAAACATGCTTGCACAAGGGATTGCTACGACCTTGGCGACTTATGAGGCTGCTCGAAACGGGAATACTGGAAATAGCGTAAGTGGTACTCCTGTAAATGCCCAAAGAAATCCCAAACACTGCTCATACAAAGAATTCAAGGGTTGTAAACATCGATCCTTCTACGGAACTAAAGGAGCTGTTGGCCTATCCCGATGGATAGAAAAGATTGAAGCTGTCTTCTACATCAACTCTTGCCCGGATGACTGCAGGGTTAAGTACGCTACCTGCACACTGATGGATGCTGCCTTAACTTGGTGGAACAACCATGCCAAGACCGTGGGAATTGCGGAAGCCTATGCCATGGGATGGGAACAGCTGAAACTAATGATGACTAAAGTGTATTGCCCACGGCAGGAGATTCAGCCATTAGAACAAGAACTCTGGAACCTAACCATGCAAGGATCAGAGGTAGCTGCTTATACCTCCCGATTCGAAGACCTTTCAACTCTTTGTCCCGAAATGGTGCCTTCAGAAGACAAGAAGACGGAGAGATACATTTGGGGGATTAGCATCGCCAGTCCAAGGTTTGGTTACTGCATCCAGACCCTCAACTTTTGACAGTGCCAAGCAACTGGCTTATGAGTTGACTGAACAATGTATCCGACGAGGCACCATGGCCCCCGCAAAAGAAAAGAACCAAACTGGGAATTCTAAGAGAAGGTTCCAGGGGGAAGCCAAAAGGGAACTTCAAACACCGTAAGCGAAACCCAGAGCCGGTAACGGTGTATGCTGCAATCACAACCACTCCCACTCCAGTAAAGCCCTATGTTGGAACTCTACCTTGCTGCCCTAAGTGCAATTATCATCATGTTGGAGACTACATGATCTGTAGCAACTGCAAATTAGGCAGTCATACCGCCAAATTTTGCAAAAAGAACCCAACCAACACAACCTCAACTACTACCGCAAGAGAAAGTCGAACCTGCTTCGAGTGTAACCAACCGGGACATTTCTGGAAAGATTGTCCTAAGCTGAAGAGACAGGGTGGTCAAGGAAGGGCGTTTGTGATAGGTGCGGGAGACGCAAGCCAAGAACCAACTGTGGTTACTGGTACGTTTCCTGTCGACAATATTTATGCCTCTGTATTATTTGACACTGGTGCTGATAAGAGTTTTATTTCCCACAAATTTAGAAAAATGATTAATCATGAATCATGCAAACTCAATAATGCTTACACGGTAGAAGTAGCCAATTGTCAAATAGAAAGCACCTTAGAAATACTCACCAACTGCCTTCTCACCCTGAATAATCACGTGTTCCCTGTCGACTTAATGCCTATAACCATTGGAATTTTCGATGTAATCATCGGAATGGATTGATTATCAGCCCATCGAGCGGAGATTCTATGTTACGAAAAAGCTGTACGATTACCCTTACCAAACAATGATGTCCTTGTGATTTATGGAGACAAGGCAGGGAAGAACCTACGAGTCATTACTTGCATGAAGGCAAGGAAGTATTTGCAGAAGAGATGCTACGCTTTCTTGGCCCACGTGGTGGATACGCAAGGCAAGGGTAAGGAAATCAAAGACATACCACAAGTGTGTGACTACCCAGACATATTTCCAGAAGACCTACCCGGAGTACCTCCTATCAGATAGGTTGAATTTCGAATCGACCTTATCCCGGGTGCAGCACCAGTGGCACGGTCTCCTTATCGCCTGGCTCCATCGGAAATGCAAGAATTATCCAGTCAACTTCAAGAACTTCTCGACAAAGGCTTTATCCGGCCAAGCTTCTCTCCATGGGGAGCCCCGGTATTGTTTGTCAAAAAGAAGGATGGTTCGTTTAGGATGTGCATCGACTATCGAGAGCTGAACAAGCTCACTATCAAAAACCGGTATCCACTCCCGAGGATCGATGACCTGTTCGACCAACTACAAGGATCCTGTTACTACTCAAAGATTGACCTACGATCCGGCTATCATCAATTTAGAGTTCAAGAAGCAGATATTCCAAAGACGGCATTCCGAACTAGATACGGTCACTATGAGTTTCTAGTGATGCCATTTGGACTGACCAACGCACCTGCCATATTCATGGACCTTATGAATCAGGTGTGTAAACCCTACTTGGACAAATTCGTGATTGTCTTCATCGATGACATATTAATATACTCACGAACCAAGGAAGAACATGGCCAGCACTTGCGTTTAATTATAGAATTGCTAAGAAAAGAAAAACATTATGCAAAGTTTTCTAAGTGTGAGTTCTGGATTAACGAAGTTCATTTCCTCGGTCATGTGGTCAGCAGTAAAGGGATTCATGTCGATCCCGCAAAGATTGAAGCTGTCAAGAATTGGAAAGCACCAACAACACCAACCAAAGTACGCCAGTTCTTAGGGCTTGCAGGCTATTATCAGAGATTTATCGAGAACTTCTCCAAAATAGCCAAGCCTCTCACCGCACTAACCCAGAAAGACAAAAAGTTCCACTGGGGAGACAGTCAAGAGTCCGCCTTCCGAAAATTGAAGCAATTGTTATGTAGTGCACCGATTTTGTCTCTTCCCGAGGGAATAGAAGACTTTGTAGTATACTGTGATGCCTCACGTCAAGGGTTAGGGTGTGTACTGATGCAGAGGAATAAGGTTACTGCATATGCATCCCGACAACTGAAGCAAAACGAGACGAACTACACGGCCCATGACTTAGAATTGGGAGCCGTAGTATTTGCCTTGAAGATTTGGAGACACTATCTATACGGGACAAAGTGCATTGTATTCACAGACCACAAGAGCCTTCAACACATTTTTGATAAAAAAGAGCTCAATATGAGACAACGAAGATGGGTCGAATTACTAAATGATTATGAATGCGAAATTCGTTATCATCCCGGTAAAGCAAATGTTGTGGCAGATGCTTTAAGCAGGAAGGAACGAGCAAAACCCCTTCGTGTAAAGGCTCTAACCCTAACCATCCCCCTAAAACCTGACTATTCAAATTCGTGATGCTCAGCTAGAAGCACTTAAACCTGAAAACATCTTGGAAGAAAACCTACAAGGCATGGACAAACAGTTCGACCTCAGAGAAGATGGTGTTGGGTTTTGAGCATTCTAACACTCCTAAGTGTACATGCAACCCTAAATACCTTGGATCTATGTTTTCTCTATTATACATACAAATAAGAACATCCAAGGTATAATCCTAATCTAGCAAACAAAACAATGAGTGTAACAAGATAGAATACATACCTCTTTGATGTAGAAAGTCTTCATGAAGCTTGAGTGCCTAGTGCCCCAAGTGTGACACCTCAAATGGAATCACAATCACCAAAACACTTAGAATAGCTTGAGAGAATTCTACAACTCATGAAATCGGCTAGCCCTTTCACTTCACACACTAGTGTCCGATTTTGGTCAAGAATAAGATGCTTATATAGTTAAAGGTTACACCATGTAAACCCTAATTGACATGGCCTTTCATTTCCATGATCCATGGGTACAAATACACCATGGAGCATCCATGGACCATCCTATGGGTTTTAGCCCAACTTGATTATCCATGGAGCATTAGCCCACTATACAAGTATGGATGATTTACACAATCAACCCATATATTTAATTAGTCTTCTTTTGATCACTTAATTAATCCTAGATTAATTCTTGATCAATACTAATTAAATAATCTTATTATTCTTATTATTAATATACTAGAACTTATAATATATTAATAACCATAAGTGTCTTATTTCTCTCATTATAGTCTATCCAAGTGCATGATGGTATGCAACCCAAATGGACCATGCCGGGTCGGGTCAAGTCTTACCAATTATAGTTATGGACTTAGACATTAATCCAACAGTCTCCCACTTGGATAAGTCTAAAACTATTATTGCGTATGACTTCAGGAACCAACTGGCAATCGTAGCTCTCAAAAGCTTCTGTCGAACTCTGACCTTGTAGATGAACTCTGACCTTTGTCAATGACTTGTCCATTAGATAAGGGATCATATATTCCTCCATTCTAGATATCATATGGACTGAGACATGGATTATAATCATTCTCTCTGTCCATTTGTTGTTTCCCGATTTCCGATTTATGACGACTGACTAATTGAACAAATCAAATCAGTCCTGGCCCGGCCGAGCACTTCCATTTGTCATCATCAAATCATCGAGGGGCCCACAGATATCGCTTTTATCCCGAAGGTAAAAGGAATGGATAAACTTCGACTCATATGGCTTGTTCTACTACTTGTTGAATCATACACAAAGGCACGTTTTATAGCACCGAGTTACCAAATGCGTTTTCGTGCAATCAATGTACTATCAACTCATAGTAACAACTCATATCTCTAGGTTTGAAGAATATAAGATATTATCGTCTCATGATCACTCGTGATAAAATCCATGAAGTGATTCCAATGAGCGCGGGTTGAATCCAATACTCAGAACTTATGAGCACTCATGATTGTTGTAGCCTTGTCCAACAC